TTTGTAGTAAATCATAGTAGCTCATGAGTCATGACTCCAGATCCGAGTGGTAGTAATTAATGAAGTTTTTATATTATTCCACACTCGCTGTATTTCATTTTAGCTTATTTATTGTTATTTACTGGTTTGAATAATAATTGGCTTAATAACTCTCTAACGTCGGCTTGCCTAGCAAGTGGAATATTAGGCGCCATCATGGTCCCGACGGTGAGAATTTCGGGTCGTGACATGTTGGTATCAGAGCACTAAGTTGCCTAGGTCTCACAATTCATGAACGAGCTTAGTAGAGTCTGGGGGATCGGTATGGAGACATTTGTACTCATCTCCCACAGGCTATGAAGTTTAGGAACAAATTTCACTTCTATTTTTCTATGTCGTACAATTTTGTTCTCACAATGCTTATTGAACTCTTCTACTCTTATTCTCTAGCAGATGGCGAGAACACGTACCGCATCTTCAGCTGAGCAGTAGCTAGAGCCTCTAGTGGAAGCTCCTACGAGGGGCAGAGGTCGAGGCCGAGGCATGACTCAGCCCAGAGCCCGAGCAGCGGCACAAGCAGTGAAGCCTCAGGTAGAGTTTGATGAGGAGGTTCCAGCCCCGGTTGTGCCTGTCGGACCAGCTCAGGTCCCGAAGGGGTTTATTGCCACCCCAGTGCTTCAGGACGCTTTGGTCCGTTTGGTGGGCCTTATGGAGAGTGTGGCCCAGACTGGAGCATTCCCAATGGCACCAGCCGTCTCTCAGGCTGGAGGAGGAGCACAGACTCCTACTACTCATACTCCGGAGCAGATGGCTCCCCAGTATCACACTCCAGCAGCTCATCCAGTCGGAGTAGTTCAGCCGGTTGTTGCAGCATAGGCCGGTGATGGGTCGGCTATGTCTTTTGAGGCTTTATGGAGATTGGACAGGTTTACCAAGCTCTTTCCAGTTAACTTCAGTGGTGCATCTTCTGAGGACCCCTGGGATTTTCTTGACAGTTGTCATGAGGTGCTACGGAACATGGGTATAGTGGAAACCAATGGGGTCAATTTTGCTGCATTTTAGATGACTGGTTCCACCAAAAAATGGAGGAGAGATTATTTGTTGACGAGACCAGCGGGGTTGCCTGCTCTTACTTGGGACTAGTTCTCTCAGCTCTTTCTAGAGAAGTTTCTCCCTATCACACTAAGAGAGGAGCACCGTCGTCAATTCGAGCATCTCCAGCAGGGCAGTATGACTGTTACTCAGTATGAGACCCGTTTTGTGGATTTGGCCTGTCATGCTATTCTTCTACTTCCTACCGAGAGAGAGGGGGTGAAGAGGTTTATTGACGGACTTGCTCAGCCTATCAGATTGCAGATGCCTAAGGAGACTGGGAGTGAGATTTCTTTTCACGCGGCTGCCAATGTCGCCAGGCGAGTCGAGATGGTTCTTGCTCAGGGGGTTCAGGGGTCTGACAATAGACCACGTCATTACGGGGGGTTCAGCGATGCCTCATCCGGAGGCAAGGGTACTTTGGGTAGAGGCCATCCTCCCAGGCCATTTCATTCAGCACTCCAGGCATCTCATGGTGCCTCAGGTGGTCGTGGCCCTCATATGCCTTATTTCGACCAGCTAGCCTACAGTGCACCACCGGCTCCTATTAGTGCACCTCGGCTCCAGAGTTTTTAGGGTGGTTACTCAGGTCAACAGGGTCAGTTTCAGGGTCAGCAGTCACAGCTGTTGAGGTCCTGTTATACTTGTGGTGATCCGAGGCACATTGCTAGATTTTTCCCTCGGGCAGCGGGCAATTCACAACATCAGGGTTCTCATGCCATGGTTCCGGTACTAGTTGCTGCACCGCCTGCTCAGCCAACCAGAGGTAGGGGTCAGGCAGCCAGAGGTAGAGGCCAGACTGTTAGAGGTGGAGGTCAGGTCGTTAGAGGTGGAGGTCAGCCAGCTAGGGCCCGTCCTAGAGATGTATTTCAGAGTGGTGGGGCCCAGCCCCGAAGTTATGCTTTTCCAGCCAAGCCTGAGGCTGAGTCATCTGACACTGTTATCACAGGTACTGTTTCAGTTTGCAGTAGAGATGCTTCAGTTCTATTTTATCCGGGTTCTACTTATTGCTACGTGTCATCCTATTTTGCTTCATATTTGATTGTGCCTCGTGATTCTTTGAGTGCTCCTGTGTATGTGTCCACACATGTGGGAGATGATATTGTTGTAGATCGTGTTTATCGTTCATGTGTAGTCACCATTGGGAGTCTTGAGACTAGTGTAGATCTTCTACTTCTCGATATGGTCGATTTTGATGTTATCTTGGGTATGGATTGGTTGTCACCTTATCACGCTATATTGGATTGTCACGCCAAGACGGTGACCTTAGCCTTACCGGGGTTGCCTCGATTAGAGTGGAGAAGGAATCCTGGCCATTCTACCAGCAAGGTTATCTCTTATATGAAGGCTCGGCGTATGGTCGAGAAGGGGTGTCTAGCTTATTTTGCTTATGTCCGCGATTCTAGTGCGGAGGTTCCTTCCTTGGATTCAGTACCCGTTGTTCGTGAGTTTCCAGAGGTGTTTCCTGCAGACCTGCCGAGGATGCCACCCGACAGGGATATTGATTTCTGTATTGATTTGGCTCTGGGCACTTAGCCTATCTCTACTCCGCCATACCGTATGGCCCCGCCAGAGTTGAAAGAATTGAAGGAACAATTGCAAGATTTGCTTGATAAGGGCTTCATTAGACCTAGTGTCTCGCCCTGGGGTGCACCCGTGTTGTTCGTGAAGAAGAAAGATGGATCGATGAGGATGTGTATAGATTATCGGCAGTTGAACAAAGTCACCATCAAGAACAAGTATCCATTACCGAGGATTGATGATTTATTTGATCAGCTTCAGGGTGCCAAGGTGTTTTCAAAGATTGAGTTGAAATCTGGCTACCATCAGTTGAGGATTAGGGCATCCGATGTCCCTAAGACAGCTTTTCGGACTCATTACGGGCATTATGAGTTTCTGGTGATGTCCTTTGGGTTGACAAATGCCCCGGCAACATTTATGGATTTGATGAACCGAGTGTTCAGGCCTTATTTGGACTCCTTTGCGATCGTGTTTATTGATGATATCTTGATCTACTCCCGTAATCGAGAGGAGCATGAGCAGCATCTCAAGATTGTACTTCAGACTCTGAGAGCCAGCCAGTTATATATTAAATTTTTAAAGTGTGAGTTTTGGTTGGATTCATTCACTTTCTTGGGGCACATTGTATCAGCAGAGGGCATTCAGGTAGATCCTAAGAAGATTGAGGCAGTTCAGAACTGGACTAGACCCACTCCAGTTGTGGAGATCAGGAGTGTCTTGGATTTGGCGGGCTATTACCGTCGATTTGTGGAGGGGTTTTCATCTATAGCAGCCTCGTTGACCAGGTTGACCCAGAAGGGTACCCCATTCAGATGGTCAGACGAGTGTGAGGTGAGCTTTCACAAGCTCAAGACTGCTTTCACTACAGCGCCAGTGTTGGTATTGCCCACAGGTTCAGGATCTTATATAGTATATTGTGATGCATCCTGTGTAGGGCTCGATGCGGTATTGATGCAGGAGGGCAGGGTGATCACATATGCGTCGCATCAGTTGAATGTTCATGAAAAGAATTACTTGTTCGTGACTTAAAGTTGGCAACCATTATTTATGCGCTGAAGATTTGGAGGAACTATCTTTACTGTGTGCCGTGTGAGGTTTTCACGGATCATCGGAGCCTTCAGTATTTGTTCAAGCAAAAGGATCTCAATTTGAGGCAGAGGAGGTGGTTGGATCTATTGAAAGACTATGATATTACTATTTTGTACCACCCCGTGAAGGCTAATGTGGTGGCCAACGCATTGAGTAGAAAGGCAGCGAGTATGGGCAGCCTTGCGTTCATTCCAGTCGGTGAGAGGCCGTTTGCCTCAGATGTTTGGATTTTAGCCAACCAGTTTGTGAGGTTGGATATTTCAGAGCCCAGTCGTGTTCTAGCTTGTACAGTCGCTCGGTCTTCCTTGTTTGAGTATATCAGAGATCGGCAGTATGACGACCCTCATTTGTTAGTCCTTAGGGACACAGTGTGGCACGATGGTGCCAAGCAGGTTACTGCCGGAGATGACAGAGTTTTGAGGATGCAGGGTCATGTTTGTGTGCCTAATGTGGATGGACTTCGTGAGTTGATTCTTGAGAAGGCTCACAGTTCCCGGTATTCTATTCATCCGGGCGCCGCCAAGATGTATTAGGACTTGCGGAAACATTATTGGTGGAGGAAGATGAGGAAGGATATAGTTGCTTATGTAGCTCGGTGTCTAAATTGTCAGCAAGTAAAGTATGAACATCAGAGACCTGGTCACTACAAGAAAAACGGCCTTTAAGGAAGGGAAATCTAGTCCCTAAAAGTTGAAATCTGGTCCTAAAAAGGGTAAATTACGAAGGGAAATGGCTGGTCGTAACCCGTCGTAATAGCCTCTGCCGCTAAATGTCAATAACAACGTATCTTAATACCTGGTCGTTAAATCACTTTAGAGACGAACAAAAAATCTAGCCGTGAAATACTTTTAGAGACTACATTTCTCGTCCCTAATAGACGATGAAAACAATATATATTCCCGTCGTTAAATCTTTGTAGCGACCAACTGTAACTGGTCCTAAATTATCTTTTAGAGACGGACAAAAAACCTAGTCGTGGATAACTTTTAGAGACTACATTTCTCGTCCCTAATAGACGATGAAAAATATATATATATTCCCATCGTTAAATCTTTTTAGCGACCAACTATAACTGGTCCTAAATTATCTTTTAGAGATGGGCAGAAAATTTGGTCGTCATTCCAATCGTTAAACCATTTTCGCGACCAACCTTTAACTTGCCTAGATTATGTTTAGAGACGACGTCCCTATTTAAAATAATTTTATAATTTAGCGATCGTATTCATGGTCTCTTAATAACCATGAGTAGTCCTAAAAGCTCAATGCCACAAAAAGTAATTTTTATCAATAAATATCAAATTGTTATTAAAAAATCTAGATATAAAAAGATAATATATCAAGTTCAAATCCCATGATGATGTTACTTTCTATGTTTTCTCAACATCTCAACAAAAAAAACTTAGCTAACATCATGAGCTAGACTATGATATCAAGTTTTGCATAACATTTTTAGCAAAATAATAATGAGCTTGTGCATCTTCTAAACTTGCATCTTGATTTGTAGTTTCAATCATCAAAACCTGTAAGTACAAAAGTTTGAAAAATGATAAATAACTATTGGTAAAATAACATATATAATTTTAAATGAGCAATAGTTAAATCGCTTACCCCAAAAGCAGTCTAAATTCACCAGGTATTATCCAACAACATCAACAAGGCTACAAGAATATTAAAAAAAATTAATTAGAAAAGCTTTGGGGATGGTTAATCTTACTTTGGTTCGATAAATTCCGGTACGACAATTCGAGATTTACCATTCAAGAGACCAACTATTATGAACAGACAGCAACATCATGAACTTGGTATTTTTAATCATAAGAGAACCATATAATCTAATTCAACCATAAGTTTTGTCAAGTTTCACCTGTTACCACTCATCACTGTTGCAGCATTTCCAGCCACTTCCACAATACAAATAAGGTTGTCTGTGCATGTTGATGATACACTCAAAATAGAAATTGCAAAATAAGTAGTATATACATAGTTTTGGAGTTTGAAATATTTTAGTTTGAATTGTCTTAGAAGTTATTATCCCTTCCTTGTGCTTCTAAACTCTTAATACATATAAAGACTGAGAAGAAGGTGAGTCCATATTTATTATTTCGTGCTGCAACCTATTGAGATCAGCATATTCCTTTTTTCTTATGTCTTGTTAATTGCACTGCACATTATTTTTGAGTCAAAGTGCCTAGAGCAGTTCTTGTTTGTCTTGTATTATATATCCAGAAGTGTTGAACTTTAACTTGATTGAACTAGAGTTCTTTGTGCCCTCCCTATTGGACTACAGCGCGCTTCTTGATTTTCGTAGCCAACAAATCCACAATGCTGAATAATAAGGCACTATCACACCAGTAGAAAAAAGGACCGAGAAGAATAAATGTCAAAGGGCACACAGAAGAAGAATAATGTAATCAAAAAAGCAATCGCTGCACGTACCAAAACGCCTTTTCATACGGAATCTATAACTAGCGTTTGATTTAAAATCACTCTAGACATGTATAGATCAACCCACAGAATCGATGACGATGAACTTTAACTTACTTCAAAAAAGAGTTGATAGAATTAGCATCTGCAGTAGTTGCGATAACAAGTTCATAGGGGCTGCGATTTACCAGAATGTATATAGAGCATGACAATTCTCGTGCCTCATCACAGTTATAGCCCCAATCAAGTCTAAGATAACTAAGCAACATCAAAGTTAAGAGTTCTAGAACCTTTGGGAGAGTTGAACTTAGATAAACTATCACTGAGGTACAAAAGGAAGCAACTTGCAGAACCTTTGGGAGAGATAAACTTAGATAAACTATCACTGAGGGACTATACGATGACACAACCACTCGAAAAGGAAAAAGATAAGGATGAAACATGCAGCCGTAACACATACACCACATGTATAAGGCATGGCAATAAGCACACAAACCCAGAATTTGCAATAGGAAACAGGTGCAAAACTGGCGAACAGAACAGATAGATTACCTGAAGAGGACAGGATATAAAGACTGATTCATTTTCTAATAGTTCACACTTTATATTTTTAGTTGAGCAACGTCTGATGGAGCTAAGGAAATTGGGCATTGAACAAAAACTATGGGAATTTTAAATGGTTCTCCTTTCAGAAGGGTGAAGACAAACAAATATGTAATATAGAAATTGACTATATGCAAATCATGAATAAAAAATAAAAAGTTGGGTATATTGTTACTAACTTGGTCAGCAGACAAAAACAGAGGTCATTCAGTTGAAACAGGCGATGTTGTTGTAAGCGGGACATGTGATTGTTGAGCAGCAAAGAACTCTCTTATTTTCCTCATTTCTTTCATCTCATCTTCTAAGGTAGACAAGCGCTCATTCAAGGATTTGTTTTCCTTATTCAAAGATTTATTTTCTTCTCGAGTTGAACGTAGCGCGGACAGTAATTCAGCCTTTGAAGAAGTTCTACCTTTCAAGTCTTTCGCCTTCACTCCACCCCCAAAGCCAAACACATGGCTACGAGTTTGAGGTCCACAACATTTTTCTACAATCTCTATGCTAGGTAGAGATGGATCTGCTTGAACTATTTCTTCGATTTGAGCCTACAAAATATATAAAAAAAATTTAAAATCAGAATCCACCATAATTTCAAGTAATTTACATATTCAATTTTTCAAACATACATGTTTTTCAATTGCTTCAGGTTCAACAAGCTTGTTATCTTTCTTACGGGTCTCAGAAAATTGTTGCCAAATCCGGTGGGTTGCCATCTTTTCCGCCCTTTACATCATCAAAGGCAAACATGTCAAAGAATAGCTCGTAAATATTTTCTTAGAAAAATAAAAAATTTATGATAATACCTTTTGATAATTGATCTCACGAATAGGCTTGTTACTAATATGATGAAGCATCTTCAACTTAGCTCGATTTGCCGCATTCCTGTTGCTTCTCGCCTATATTTGTGAAACATTAATGTTTAATAACACTGATGTTTAAGAATGTTGGAATTACATGGTTCTATATGGGTGAAAGTAAAACTAGTTTTTTTTCACAATTATGTTAATGGAAAGAGGCCAAATTTGTAGTTGAAGAGAAGGCAAAATGCAGATGATGCTTTAGCGAAATAGATTATTAAATCACTAGGCATACCTGAAAACTTTTTGAAGAAAAATGTTCCTTTACTAACCACTCCCATTCTTTCTTGTCTACTCCCTTTGGAATATTCTTAAGAGCTTGTTGGATTGGCTTATCCTTCACGTATTTTGCATGCAAGTGTCCTCTCCATTTGTTCCATAATTCTTTCATCCATAAGAAGATATGATCACGATGATCATTCATGTCAACACTCTCAAATTTATCCTACAATAATCAAAACATGGGTTGAGTTAATGAATTAGTTCAATTTTAGTAACTACTCATAATCCTGTGTTAGGAGCAACTCTCCAGCAATTAACATATAATAAAGTTTCAACTGTCATTTCAAACTCTACAGCAACTAACAGTTGAATCAAACTCTAGTAGTGGAAGATGATTTGCCTCTAAATTTAACTATAATTGAAAGATTATAAAAGGATGGCATGTAGGATTTTGTTAGCAATGGCTCAGTTAAATGTGTGTGTAAGAAGGGGGAAGCTCTCCCTCATTTGTAAGTACTTGATATGGCCAGTGCTAAATTAATTGCCGATTAAAACTATTAACAATTATCAATCAGAGATTCATTTCACTCGTTGTGATTCCTACATAGAGGCACAAACAGGAACACATATATTCAACTAAATGATATGCATCTTCACTGTATAAATATCTTGCTTACCTCAATAGCTGGCCACATGTAATTCATCTTTTCTTCCTTAATATCATTCCACGATGATACTCCCAACAGACACATATTACGGTCACGAACGATTCTTCCCAAGTGCCTCGAAAACAGTTTGCTATTTGTTCCAACTGTTCGATTATTGTAAAAGGTTACTTTCAGCTTTTGTCCGACTTCAAGTGATGCTACTTCTTTGCACTTGTTCCTCCCTCGAACTTTTTTTACCTTTCCAGGATTAGATGAAGAACCTACGGCTGCATAATTTGGTAAAAGCTATAGCAATAAAATTCAGTTCTACAAATTAATAACATATGGATTCAAAATATCATACCTGTTTCAGTTGCTTGGGAGTGTTGCATAAGTTGATCAGTAGATGGAGGCAATGAAATATTGCTTTGCATATGCTCTTTCTCAAGAACCAAGGAGTTTTTATCCATTGTTCGCATTTCTTGATTACAAGACATGGTAAAATTCGATCTTGTGCTTTTAGAAATCCCTAAAGATGAGCACAAAGATCTAGGAGTTTGCTCCCGTCCCTTCCTTATAGAACCTGGACCAAAAAACCATTTAGTTTGGCATTTAATTTCAGTTATATATATATGCAATTAAAAATACCACAAATTTGGAAAAACTTACTTGCTTCAACTTTTTGGTTGTATTGCTTAACTTGATCAGTAGATGGAGGCAATGGAATATCAATTTGCATATACTCTTTCTCAAGAACGATGGAGTTTTTATGTATCGTTCCCGTTCCTTGACTAGCAGACATGGTAGAGTTTTAAGCCCTTGTCCTCGTCCCTTCCCAATAGCACCTGGCGAAACGAAATCATATTACTAACATTTAACATTAAAATTCAGTTGTACACATTAAAAACAGTAGATTTAAAATATCTTACTTGTTTCAATTGTTTGGATGTATTGCTTAACAAGATCACTAGATTGAGGAAATAAACTCTTAGTTGGCATATTCTCTTTCTCAACCAAAGATCTAAGACCTCGTCCTCGTCCTTGTCCCTTTCTTATAGCACCCGGCGGGACGAACGCATATCTAGTTGTACTCTTCATATTTGATTCCACCTCATTTTCGGTCTTTGATGGTTTCATATTGAACCTGCAAAGAGCCAAAAGTAAAAAATAGTAAGACAATGTGTGACAATATAGTAATAAAAGAAATCATGCCATCAGTATATGTAACAATGAATATACTAATTCATAAATAGATACTTCACCTCATCTGTTCTTTTTCGTTTCTTTTGTGAAGGATTTCCTAAGTCTACAATATCATCATCCATTCGCTTTACAATTTCATAGGAATCACGAGGTTGAGTCTTCCTCACTACATGCCAACCTTTGTTGGAGTTATCAATAGCATAAAACACTTGAGATGCTTGCTCCGCTAAAATAAAAGGCTCATTTGTTTTCAAAACTCTCCCTGGATTAACACTCACGAAGTCATACTCATCTTTTTTAACTCCCTTTATTTTATCATACACATCAAACCAATTACATCGAAATAAAATCACTCTTCTACCCATGACAAATTGCAATTCAATCACATCTGTCAAAATTCCATAGTAATCAATGTTCTCACTATCTTTATCATTCTCACCAACAACAACAACACCACAATTTTGAGTCCTTAAATTATTATCATAATCTTCTACATGAAATCTATATCCATTAACAATGTAACCATTAAAATGTGTCGTATATTGGGTAGGACCACCTGAAAGTGAGAGCAGATCTTCCATGATCCGACTATCATCTCCTTTATGCAATTGTGCAACCTATCAATAAGATTAAGTTGAATAATTTAGAATTAGTAATACAACATTAAAATGTCAAATTTGATGCTTATGTATTACTCACCCTAACTTTAAACCATTCATTAAATTGTCGGTTCCATTTTGCATCAGACAAGTGTTGCGCAGTATCCACATGAGTTTGTGCAAACTCTCTACAAATTTGAAGTGAACCATAAATGTCATATAAAAAAATTACCCTAAAAGAAAATAAGAAAAATCAGACGATATGAAAGAACTCTCCGTACTCGAGATATGGTATGACTTCATCGCAATTCTTCAGTATGTATATATGTGCTTGTTCCAATTCATTTGCTTCAAGCTCACATTGTTCTTTAGCTCCCAAAGTACTTTCAGGTTGATAAAACATAGATAAACCTCCATTAGATTTTTTTCAAACCCCCGTCATAATTTCGTTCAGGTCGATTGAATTTTGTGTCAATCGTATGCAGATACCATGAACATAAGGTCATACATTCATTTGCAATGTAGCCCTCTGCAATAGAGCCTTCTGGACATGCCCTATTACCAATAAGAGATTTCAAAAAATATAACCATCGTTCCACAGGATACATCCATCGATAATGAATAGGTCCAGCAATCTTAGCTTCACTAGCTAAATGGATAGGCAAGTTCACCATGACATCGAAAAATGAAGGGGGAAGACCTTTTCTAACTTGGAAAGTGTTATGGGAATTTGCGCTTCAATTTGTTCCAAGTCATCAATCCTTAACTCCTTTGATCCTAACACATTAAAGAATAAAGATAACTCAATAAACGGTTCACACACTTCTTTGGACAACATACCACGAAGTGCAAGGGGGAGTATATGTTGCAGAAGGACATGGCAATCATGACTTTTCAACCCAGATATCTTGTGATCTTTCAGGTTCACACATTGAGAAATATTAGATGAAAACCCTGGAACCTTTAAATTCTTTAGGAATTGGCATAATTTGTGCTTACTTTCGGGAAGCAATGTGTAGCATGCAGTTGAAACTTCAACTATCTCCCCTCTTTGGATGGGGTGCAATTCCGACCTAATATTCATGTCTTGCAAGTCTAATCAAGTTTTAATTGTATCCTTAGTCTTTCCTTTGACATTCATGATTGTTCCCATAATATTATCACATATATTTTTTTCAATATGCATAACATTCAAATTATGTCGCAACAAGAGAGACTTCCAATATGGAAGTTAAAAAAAAAAACTTTTCTTGTTCCAATTATCCTTTCGATTTTCATGTGATATCTTCTTCCTTTTCTTTAGATCCTTTGTTAACTGTATCCCTCAAGATCTTGCACTTGATTAAGTATCTCAATACCAGAACATATTTTTGGTGGGAGCCTTTTCTCTTTTGTACCATCAAATGAATCCTTGTCATTCCTCCATTTGTGGCTAAGAGGAAGGTAGCGTCGATGACCCATAAAGCATTGCTTCTTACTATTAGCCAATCGAATTGAGGAGGTGTCTTTATTGCAACATGGGCATGCCAATTTTCCTTTTGTACTCCATCCGGATAAATTTTCATAGGCTGGAAAGTCATTGATGGTCCATAACAAAGAAGCATGCAACTTAAAATTCTGTATAGATGATGCATCAAAGGTCTCAATGCCAACTTCCGACAACTCCTTCAATTCTTCTATTAAACGTTGAAGATATATATCAATTGCATCTCCTGGATTACCTGGACCAGGAATAAGCATTGACAAAATAATTTTTTTTTTGTTTCATACACAACCAAGGTGGTAAATTATAAGGAATAAGAACCACAGGCCAAATGCTATATGAGGTTTTTGAATTCCGAAATGGCTGAAATCCATCACTAGCAAGTCCAAGTCAGACATTACGAGGCTCTGTCGCAAATGAAGGATGAAGTTCATCAAATGGACTTCCACGCTATTGAATCAGCTGGGTGCCTCATTATTCCATCATCAACTCTTTTATCTTTATGCCATGTCATTAAAGTAGATGTCTTTGTAGACATAAACAACCTCTGAAGCCTAGGCTTTAATGGAAAATAGCGTAAAGTCTTTGATGCTATCTTCTTACCTTTTTTATTCCTTGTTTCCCCGCTATGTCTATCTATTTTCCATCTAGACGCACCACAAACTTTGCAAGAATCAAGTAAGCTATCCTCCTTCCAGTATAACATGCAATCATTAGTACAAGCATCATTCTTTTTGTAGGAAAGGCCAAGGTCTTGAATTATCTTCTTTGCCTCATAATACGATTTTGGCAAATTGGCGCCATCAGGTAACAACTCCTCTTTTAACATTTTCAATAACATTGTAAATGACTCATTACTCCAACGACCCATACTTTGATGTGAAGCAATTTAATCAAAGAGGAAAGCTTTGAAGCTTTTGAATTTTGGTACAGTGGCTGCTCGAAATCCTTCAATAGCCTATAAAATCTTTTTGCTTCAATATTTGGTTCCTCCTCAATTAAATCATCACAATCAGTGTGCATAGTTCTTCCATCAATATTAGGATATAGATCTCTCAACAATTCTTGTACTTCATCTTCACTTGCACATTCTTCTAGTTCATCACCGTCTTCATCTTCCGATTCTGATAGTGGCTCACCTAAATTTTCCCCGTGATGATACCAAAAAGTATAATTTTGAATTATTCCATATACTTTCAAATGTGTCTCAACTATCTTATGAGTTCCTAAAGTTGTATTACAACATTTGACACATGAACATCGTATTTCATATTCTTCTCCTATTTTCTGAAAAGCATAATCCAAAAACTTTTGCACTCCGATTAAGTAGGTTTCATCGAGCCGATTTTAACAAGTTACATCCATTGCTTACTAGGTGCCATAACCTTAGAGAGTAAATAAAAATTACATTAAAAAAAGATAAAAGATAAGAAAAATACTACGATGCACACAACTTGTTACGATCAGATGCACACAACTGGTTCAACTCTAAGGTCGCACTCTTTAGTGTACTGGGCTCCTCTATTTTCAGTTAATACATTGCAATATACAATCAGATGGCACTAATCTAGACANAACGATCGGATAAATAGCTGAATTTCCATGCCTTACGCGGTTGTCAGGACACAAGCACCATAAAGAAACAAGGGTTGGTCCGGAAGCCTTTAGCCAAGTTTAGCCACCCTGAAAGTATCTCTGGGAGGTGTGGAGGGAAAAACTGCTGTGATTTTAAACCTAAAAGTAACTTAACTCATAATAAGTTGGTAGTTAGACCACATGAAAAAATTGCTTTTGTTGGCCCAGTTCTGTTGATCTTTGAACCATGGTGGGAAAAGTGTAGTTTTAGTCAGTCTGAAGCTGCCATGTAACCAGTGCAAATGAGATAGTGAGTTACATAAACAATATACTTTGTGCTTTTTTTACTGCGCTGGTACATTTTAATGAAAGCAACTAAAAGGGAATCCCAAAATTGCATTTAGGGGGTCAGGCCAGGGCAATCTGTTGGGATATTTAATGACACACCTGGGGAGACTTTACAATAACTCTTTTTAAATCCATCTCCATTTAACTGGCTCTTAAAAGTTTGTACCATGATAATTTACTATCCAGGCAACAGCACAGACTAGACGAGCGCGAACCCCTTAACAGGCTAAGTGCGAGCGGATCCCCC